TCATAAGGTTGATCATTGAGATAAGCCTTCCATTTTAGCAAATAAAAATAGTTTGGATTATATCACTAATTCTAGCAAATAAAAAATTGTCTATTGTACTCTAAGGTAAGAAACAAAAAGATGGTGATCCAACTTTAAACTTTGATAAGACACCACTTTTCACTATAAATCGGCCTACACATAGTGAAGTAGAATTAGTAAATGATGACAAATACGCTGTTCGAGATGATCATTATGGAAGGGACATAAAAAATAGTTGTGCACTTTAATTTAATTTTGTGTTTACTATATGTTATTTATTTATTCATTCCATTGAAATTTATTTACCTATTTGACCTTGGCTTCGTAACAGGGACATGGAGGATGATAATAGAAATAATAAAAAAATGATCAAGCAAATGATGAACCTATTAGAAAAAGAGTAGAGGGACCACAAGGATGCCAAAGCTAGCGGTATGCTTTGGGCGTATTCAGAAGAAGCATGTAGATTTTTATAATGACATGAATCCAATTGGTACAAAGGGTGATAAGTTCATAAGCTATGTAAGACTTCTAAGATGAAGCAAAGTTAGCCTTTTATATTCTAATTGGAAAGAACTACCACCTAAAATGAAGGATGCAAGTTGGCAAGATATATTGGTATTTAGCTTTCTATCTTTCATACATTTAAATAGTTATTATTACTAATTCTAACTTCATTATACATGAACTTTGCCGCAAATGTACGATGTCCCTTCCACCCTTAAGATGAGGAAGCACTAGTTAGACCGAGTACTTGAGTAGTGGAAAGGTTTTAAAACAATTTTTACTCACAGCTACATTCGAGGAGCCAAAAAAGATGAGAATCCATATGACATATATGCCTTTATTGAGGCAGACACTTGGAGAAGATTTATGAAATCTTAAATCATGAATTTCAGGTAAACTTCTCTTAATCATTGACATTTTGTTTACAAAAATTAATATTATTTAATTTAACTAAATTTATTTTCTTTTTTTTTGTAGAAATTAAGTGCTCTGAATAAAGAGAAATAATCAAATATTTATATCAACATTACATATCTCGTGAGGGTTACGAGAAGGCACAACAAGAAGTCATCGAAGCTGATTTAAAACAAATACAAGAAACTACAAAATTAGACCCTAGCATTATCATTCAAGCCCTTGATCCTCCATCTCGACATAAAATATGGAAGCATGCCAGAAAAAAAAAGATTAATATATCAATCTGACTGTTGCTGACATTGCTAATAAGATTGTAAGTAGTTAAATTAAAATAGTATTCATGATCTGCTATAACTATAATTCATTTTTGTTTATTATTTGAATGTTATAGGATGCAGTTAAGAAAGTAGTCAAGTATCTTTCACTTTGATGTGAAGAATGGACATTTTGACAACAACAACTGGGAAGCTAGATCATCCTGGTCGAGTCAGAGGATTAGCAAAGATAGTTGGTATAACATAATTTTTTGGTTCAAATTCATAAAGTTCTTGAGGAAGAAGTGTCCCAAGTGCTAACTTGATGGTTAAAGTTCGAGAATAGGTTTGTTAAGAGATTATGACTAATTCAAAGGTTCGTCAATTCTTTAAAAATGAGCTTATATCTGAGCTTCGCGAGGAGATAAGATCTTTGGTCTCTGGCATGCAAATTGGGCAAGTTCAACAAGAAAAACATAGACCCCACGTTTGAAATTAATCTCAGTTTAATTTTCTCTGAGTTATGCTAACATTTTTTATTGTTTAATTCCATGATTTCATTTATGTCATGCATCTAGTATTTCGCAGTCTATGGAAGCACAAAAGGTAGCTTTAATCCACAAGTGTTTTCAATTTCGCTTGACCCTAGTCTCACGCCAAATATGGAGAACCTTGCATTTTCTATTTAGATGACCTAAATATGTGTGTTGTTGCCAATGCTCTTAAATTTACACAAGGGTCTACAGTTCATCATAAGAAAATCGAAGCGGACTTGGTTTAGGTCACAGTCATAGCTATTCTAGAGCAAGAGGCAGATGCAAATGTCTCATTTCCTAGTGATGAGATTACCAACTAGGCCAAGCAAAAGGATATTTATTTTATGGCCTAAAAGAGTCATTAACGTCGTATCTTTGATGGTATAAAATACTCAAGCATTTTTTGATTTTTCGTTCATGTCCTCCTTATAATACTTATCTTTATTCAATTTTTATTAGGTTACTAAAAGGGCTACTAAATTTCCTTGCTTGGCACAACTATATGACATTTACAAGTCAATTAACAAGGTCAACATGACAATGCCTTTGGGAATTAGGGGGAGGAAAGGACACATCATTTTGAACTAGACTAGAAGGACATCAAGAACTTCCTATGTTTAGATGAGCTAAACCTCGCGTGGATTCAATTAGCAATAATGTGATTTTATTTTATGATTTTTTGTGTGCTCATTTTTAACTTATATATATGAACTAATTTTTGACTCATTTTAAGTTGATTATAGTTACTTCTACAACTTGTGCGCTTCTACTGGAAAGAGAGATTATATGGATACTTTACAACCTTTGAAGAACCCCATTGATAAACGAATGAGATACATGGATAACACTATTGAAGAAACCCAATTCCCTTGTATTTTGTTCCAATAATTGAATAGTAAGTAGCTTATATCTATTTATATATATATATATATTCAATTTTCCATGAATTCACTGGCTTCATTCCTTTTTATATTTCAGTAAACATTGATCATTGTGCATTGCTTGCCCCACAAACAATGTCATTTACTGGTTTGATTTATTGGGTTATTGCCCAAGTGGCGATATTAAATGTGTAAGTTTTTGTCATGTTATATATGGTTTTCTTATTTTATTAAATTGTTCTAATGTCTAGTCATTTTTATTTGGTCATAAGTCTTTGAAGACATATTATACACGAGGTGGGAAGCGCGAGGGTAAAAATAGCACAACAACTTGGCGCAAACTAATAGTAAGTGTTTCAAGTTAATTCCTTTAATTTCATCAATAATTACTTCTTAGATACCTATATTTATCTTAGTTATTCACTTTTGAAGTGTCAACTACAACCAAGAAGTACAGAGTACAGATACTATATTATCCATTTTATGTATAAAATTATTGAGTTCGAATGTACTAAAAATTTCGAGATGGTAATAATTAATTTGATTATAATTTTTTTTCATTTTATTTCTTGCTTTTTTAATTATATTATCTTGATTAAATTAAATTTCTTTATTTACAAACTTACAGATTTTTGATGATGAAAGCTCTGAAACTAATGAAGAGATTGATGGCATTCAAGGTCATTTGGCAGGACAATTTCTTCAAGAGTTTTTCTCTCAAAATGATACATGAGGTTGAAAAGTTTAGATATGTTTAGGTCAAAGTTACTTGTGTTATATGATTATGTTAAGGAGTTTAGGTTTTTTTCCTTAACTAAATTAATTAGGAAGTTATTTTGATGAGTTATTGTTTAGGGTATTATTAAGATTCTATTTGTATGGAAACTATGATGAATGTATTGGGCAAGCTAAATTGCTATTGTTGTTGTAGTCTGTTTTGGTTCAATTTCATTTGTAGGGTTTCAAATGCAAACTAATATATACAAATTAACAAATTTTATTTTCTTTAAAAAAATTAATATACTCATCTGTTTAGTAATGGTATTATTTGACGAAACAAGAGAACTATTACGTTCCTGGCTTTTATGGGTGAGCATGGCTGGGGCAGTGCATGGTTTCTTTATATTCATGTATGACTATCATGTCAAGAAGGCAATAAACTAGACATGTAGCATACAAAATCACTTGAGACTTAAATTTGTCTTAAAATTTTTCACTTAGAAATGCTAAATGCTTGAAAATTTTTTTTGGGTACAAATTTCCCCAGAAGTTTGAAATCGTAGTGATGTTACTTATTAGTGTTAAAAATTTTAACTGTCAATATCACTATTTTAACAACTAATGTTAGTTTTTAATAGTAAGGAGTAATATTGTTATAATTTAAAACTCTTATAGCAAATTTGCACCCAAGAAGATTTCAGTGAGCTCCTGAGTGAAAATTTTTAAAATAAATTTACTTATTAATCGTTACAAAATTGCCTTTTAATACCAAGAGGTTTTATATAAAAGGATTCGTGTGGAGTAGACCGAGTAGCGATATAGCATATGCTACAACCAACTTTTGAGTAAATAGGACAAAATTTGACAGTTGGTGGGTCTGAAATCTAGTAGGAATATGCTCATCAGATAAGCGGGTTGCCATCTTTTTACACATGACATTAGCCCATCGCGTCCCGGACGACCATGTTCACACCGTGTTCACTCCGCGTGGTGGCGTGACCTCGATTCCAAGTGACATTATTCAAATTTCAACCCTAATCCAACGTTTTCCTTTGGCGTGACCTTCTAGTTATTCCAGTCCCACGCAAACATAGAATATAAATAAATAAATCAGGTTTGAAGTATGAACACCCTTTTAAGAAAAACATAAATTTACAAAAAGGACTCTAGATCTGTGCGAGGTAAGCAATTACTTAATTGCTAAGCCACAGCTTTTCTTGTTTTTTTCTTCTTTTTTTTTTTCGCCCACAGCGGATGATACTCCAAATCCTACATATATAAAAATACCCAAAAAAAAAATTATGTATAAAAAGTCGGTAAAAATCCGTTAAATAAGTGCAATAAACATATGAAATATACTTTTTTTTTTTTTCAAAATGTACTGTTATAGATCAGGGGAAAGAGTCCAAAACACAAGACATTAAAATAATTAATATGATTTTTTTTACCTTTGTTCTTCTTAAATATAGAAGAGAGAGGAAAGAGATGAAAGAAAGATTAAAAAAAAAAAGTATAACATTAGAGACAACTCTACATTTTTTTTAGGAGTAAAATAAAAAAAATTTATCACATATTTAAGGATTAAACTTTTATTGCTTAATATATAAAAAAAAATTAACTAATTTCTTATACTATCCCCGGTGCTAGAAGGACCGAGGGAGCATTTAAAAGGGAATATCTGATGAGAAAAATGACCTCACAGCTCGAGATGCGCTCCAAAGGAGATTAATGTGCCGCTCTCCACCTTCATCACTGAGCTATAAAAGCCCCAATCATCCCACTGGTTTGGCATCCTAAATTCCTAACTCCTTGGTGATTAAATACTCTTCTTCATCTTCAACCACATCCATGGGTTCTCGCTACGAAGTAGAAGTAAAGATCGAATCTGCTAAGCAACTGAAGAACGTGAACTGGCGTCACGGCCCCAATCGCCCATACGCCGTCGTTTGGGTGGACCCCAAGAACAAGTGCTCCACCAAGGTCGACGAATCCGGCGACACTGAAGCCCAATGGGAAGAGACGCTCCGTATCCCCTTGCCTCCCGGTCCTATTGAGGAATTCACCCTCTACATCGATGTCGTCCACGCCGGCTCCGAGGAGGACACCAAGCCGTTCATCGGCTCGGCTAAGCTTGAGCTCAACGAGCTTCTTCAAGACGTCGGAATCGGCGATCGCACCACCCGCAAATTGACCCTGAAACGACCTTCGGGGAGACCACAAGGTAAGGTGGAGGTTGGGGTTTCCATCAGGGAAATAGGCTACCCTGCGCCTCGTTCGTATTACGCTCCCCCTTACGGGGTACCACCATCGGTGTCGCGTGATTACGCCGGTGCCCCGCCGCCGTATGGTCACCCATACAACGCACCGCCGCAAGATCCGTACTATTCAGCGCCGCCTTCGGCTGGTTATCCACACAGTGGGTACAATGCGCCCCCTCCAGCTGGGTACCCACACAGTGGCTACAGCACAGCGCCGCCAGTGGCCTACGGACAGCCGAGTTACGGTTACGGTCAGGAGAGTCAGCCGGCGTATGGGGGGGAGGAGAAAAAGAAGAGCAAGTTTGGTGGGATGGGGACGGGATTAGCTGTGGGAGCAGTGGCTGGAGCTTTAGGCGGACTGGCACTTGCAGAAGGGTATGATGCTTTGGAGGATCATATTGCAGAAGAAGCCGCAGAGAAAGTGGAGGATGATCTTCCAGGAGACGACGACTGTGGAGGAGACGACTTCTAGAAGAAAGCATTGTTGAGATTCACGGTCAGAAGGGCTTCTAGAAGACGGCTGGATTATATGAAATAAAACTCTCGTTATGGGCATTCTTGAAAAAACACAGGGAATCTTTTCGCGTTGTTGTATTTTTATTGTTCTGTTTCTTGTATTCTGGCGCGTATGAGTTGGCACTTGGAAATGCAATGGTGGATATTGATCACAGTTTTAGTTTTTTCTTTTAAATAAAAAATTTAAATCATGATCATCAGTTTAAACAAAATTGCAGGACCTGTGTTGCAATTTTTTTAACACAATTTTAAAATGTTACCAACGAGAACAACGCAAGGGTTAATGCATAGTTCAGAATAAGTGAAACAAAGGACTCATGCTTGTTGTTATCAAAATCAAAATAAAGTAGTAATAAATAGCCCATAAAAAAAAAAGCAAGTAAAATTTGCCAGTGAGGATTAAAATCAGAAAAACTGGAACGTAGATGTTTACACAGTCTTTTGCCCCTGTTTGGTTTTGGGTAGTGTCTGTGTAGAGAAGTTTTCAGAGTACCTCATTTACAGTTTGTTTTGCTTCGGCAATATATTTATCGTTTGGATTAGTTTTGTTTCTGGTGGTGACTGGTTTATGTCTGCAATAATTTGCTTTGTATCGGAAGTTTTTATTAATTTTCGCCCGCTTTCCTCTGCTCCTGTGCCTCCAGGGGTGTTTGGGGCGGCCTGTTTCATACCATTGGTGCCAAAGATTGTGGGCTTCTTTGAAGTTAGTCTTTGGACTGCCCTTTCTGTTGCTACCTCTTCGATCATAGCAGACAAAAATTGGTTATTACTCTTTTCAATCCACAGGGTATAGGCTCTCCTTGTGTTGTCTCTGTTTCTTTGTTGCTGCGTTTTTAGCTCAGTCGTTATTTAAGCTTTTGGTGGGTCTTGCTATCTCCTTGGTATCTATATCTGTTTCCTTTTAATGAAGACTCTTATTCAGGTTAAAAAAAAAGATGTTTACACAGTCAATCCGCTGTTCAATCTTGTGACTTCATATTAACGCATTTATCTCTTGGAATTTAAAATAGGAATGGACATAGCCTGGCCAAATAAGCCTGAGCGTATTACAGGGTTTTGAAGTTTGACCGTAAGCATGAGCTTGCATACAAATTTGTTTTAGGCTCAGGACTGTGCCTTTGAAAGGGCTAGCAAACCTGAAGTCTTTTTAAAAAACCTACTTACAATATAGGTTTTTTTTTTTTTTAAAAAAACCTAATATTTTAAGTTTTGAAAGCCGCAGGTAGGTTTTGAGTTTATTAAAACTTACACAAATGTAAGCTTTTGATACACTTAAAAACTTGTATATTTTGATATATATTAATAAAATACATTTTTAAAAAAATTAATTAAGCCAAACCTGTAGGCTTTTAAGTTAGGCTTTAAATTTAAAAATCTGACCTATTTATCTTAAAAGGTCTTTAAATAGGTTTTAGGTTGACCTATTTGCTAAATAGACCAAGCCATACCAAGTCCCAATTAAGTCAAGCTATAAGCCCTTAATAGGAATCTAGTTTATTCTCATCTATAAATTTGAATGACACATCCCCTTTCTCATGTTTCTAGTCTAATATAAGTTACTTATATACCAAAAAATACATTAAATTAACACAATTTTACAATTTCACCCTTATCAAAATTTTCTCTCTTTCGATGTTTACAAACCATTCCATTATCTTTCCTTTCTTGCTCTTATCCCAACAAAAATTAAATAAGAATAAAATTAAAAAAACCAGTATTAAATATACTTGTGACCTATATTCATTTTTTCCTACAAGTAACCTGTATTTAGGACTGGATTAGTAGTCTTGTCTCCAAATTGCTTCAAACAATAAATCGGCTGAAGAATTTCTGAATCACCAATCCAAAACCAGAGCGATCGCTTTTGGGGAAAAAAGAGTTGTATACTACACCAACACGTTATTCGTAACGTCATGTTCGAAGAAGATAGTTCTTATATATGGTTTTCATCTTATTGTTAATTAACTATAATTTGGAATTCTTTGACCCAGCGTCAAATTTCAACCTTAATTATCATTTTTTATATACAATTTCAAGCTTAATTATTGTCCAAAGTTTTAAAAAGATCTGTGTTCGAGGGAGGGATTAACAGCGGCGGAAGCTCGAACAGGTTCTTCGGTTCTTTTAAGAAGATGGTCTATACACGACAACATTGAAAAGGAATAAAGAAGAGAGAGAAGATTATCATATAATTTTCGTTGTAGATGAATGATTTTTTGTTTCCTCAACAATTTTGTTTATATTGTTTCAGTTTTTTCCCTTCAAATTTCAAAACTTTTGTAACGTCGTAAAAATGAGTATAATGTAGGCAAAAAACAATATGAAAATAATTATAAGGGAAAATTGCAAATAAAGACCTTTGAAAATATAAAATAGCAATTTAGGTACTTTAATTTACAAAATTGCTGTGAGAGACGGGGTCTCAAATATGAATTATGAAATGTAAGGAAAAAGACTAAATTGCCCTTCTTCTCTTTCTTCCATCACCTTATCTTCTTCTCTTTCCCACTGCGGTCCAATCCAGGAGTTCTCTCTTCCCTCTCCTTCTCTTTCTTCCATCACCTCATTTCTTTCTCTCTTCCAGTGATCTCAAGGCTCTACGTGGGGTGTGTGAGTTAGTGGGGATTTAATTTAGGGAGCATGGTGGAGCGATTTTATCGATTAAGGAGAGAGATTTTTTAACTGGGAAGATTAATGGAAGGGTAATGCTCAATGGGGGCTAGAGTTATGGGGATTTATGGATGAGAAATTTTGGTAAAAATTGGATCGATGACAAAGTATAGATCCCCATTGCTCTGTCACTATATCCAACTACTTGTCCACTCTAAGTTCCACTGTGACAAGCAAAGCGAAGATGAATTCAAGGGGTGGGTGGAACTATCAATTTCACGCGCGTGTTGAAGAGCTTGGATGCAGGCCTTCTCCCATTGCACGAAATATTGACATGGAACAAAGAGAAGGGAAAGCACATGTGCGATTTGGTTGGGAGAATTGGACCGACCCCTTCACAGTGTTGCTCAATCACAGAAGCTCGAATGGGATTTTGATTGCAAGATTGGGCCCGCCCTTCGATGGATGCTGCTAGGTTGGGAAGAATGATATGAGGTTGGGGCATCCTAGATCTGCGACCATGAAAACGATGATGAGCAATATTTTTTTAGCAACCATGGGGAAAGAATCAAAGCGGAGGAGCTTGGGCACCTAAGATGGTGTTTTTTTTTCCTTGGTTTTGTTTCCTTGATTTTAGTTTTGCTTCTTTCTCCCCCTCACATTATAGGATCTCTTCTTTTTTCTTATTTGCTCATTTCAACAGAGAAATTAAAATTATATGAAAACCTTATCGAAACTTGTTATTAGTCTTACTTAACTTGTCATTTACCTAATTGAACTTGTCATAAATCCTATCCCAGAAGTGCTTACTATCAAGGAAATCTGCAAATTCTGATTTTAATAGAGAAATTTAAAATTGTGTCAAAACCTTATAAGAACTTGTCATTAGTCTTACTTAACTTGTCATTGGCCTAACTGAACTTGTCATTTTATAAATAAATGTGGAAATTCAGCTATTTTAATAGAAAATCTCAAATCTGTATGAGTAGCTTATCAGAAGTTGTCATTGGCCTTACTTAACTTGTCATTTCACAAATAAATGTGAAAACTCAATCATTCTAACAGAGAATCTCAAATTTGTATGAAAACCTTATCAGAAGTTGTCATTTGACTAACTGAACTTGTCATTTCGTAAAGAAATATGAAAATTCTGTCATCTTAATAGTTTAAGCTCAAATTTGTATGACTAGATTGTCAGAAGTTGTCATTCGACTTATTAAAGCTGTCATTAGCCTTAATGAAGTTGTCATTCATCCAAGAATGTGAAAATTGTCATTTTAATGCACAAACTTAAATTCCTATTAAATGCTTATCAGAACTTGTCACTTGTGTTAATAAACTTGTCATTCATCTTAATAAACTTGTCATTGGCATTACATCAACACTTGTTATTAAAAGTTTGCAATAGGAAATGACAAGTTTGTAATAAAAAATTACAACTCTGCAATAAGAAATAACAAGTTTATAATAGGAATTACAAGTCTGCAATATGGAATTACAAATCCACAATAAAAAATAACAAGTCTGCAATAGGAAATAACAAGTCTATAATAAAAAATAATAAGCCTGAAATGAAAAATCACAACTCTGATATAGGAAATTACAAGTCTACAACAGAAAATAACAAGTCCAAAATAGAGAATTATAAGTCTAAAATAGAAAATTACAGGTCTAGAATAGGAAATTACAAGTCTCTAATAGAAAATAACAAGTCCAGATAACCATCTAACATCGATGACATCAAAGCTAATTTTGAACGTTTCTTGACAATATTAGGTCCAAGCAATCATCTGATAACTGCATTCATGGATAAAGGAACATATAATTATCATTTGATAACATATAATCGTCTGAATGAGGGCATGTTATTGGTAGGCTAGGCTTCATTCACCTGTTTCTCAAAATGCATCCTCTTCAAACCCTGCAACAAGGATGTTAAGAGTTGTTAGCTTATACTTGAAAGGCTTGGATTTCAACTTTTGTGCTTCTCGTTGGGCTGATTGATTATTTGTTCATCCCTTTCTAACTTCAGAGATAAAAGACGTTAGGACCCAAGCGGGTGCTTCACTTGCTTGGTTGAAAGAGCTAAAAAAAAAAAAAATCCTACCTACCCACAACTCAGCACAAACACAAATGAAATCTATTCGATGTATTGCCTCAAATACTTAGTTGAAATGCTTAGTTGAAAGAGAAGGACGAAGAGGGAGAGAGGAGAGAAGGATATGGGTTTGTGAGAATGAAGCAGAGGAAGATATGTGAAGCCGATGGGTATTTTTGTCTTTTAATCAACATTTCATAATTGCAAATTGGAACTGGGTCCTCTGCAGCAATTTTCAAATTCAGGGTCCCAGGTTGCCATTTTATATATTGGGAGATCTTTATTTACAATTTTCCCTAATTATAATGCCCTACAAAAAATGAGCTTCCTCACCATTTTTTATTGGTTCTCGCATAATACCTCTACCTCTACGAATAGATTTACCATCATTAATCTATCGTGAAAAATGTATGTGCGTGTATTAAAGAAAGAGTCCCACATTATTTAGAATTGTAGGGGTCTAAGTAATAAATA